CAACTCGCTGTAATTTATCTCCTGTTTCACCGATTGCCATCGGGTTTGTTTGTAAGTGGGGAAGAAATATGACACTTTCAAGCGAAGTGAGTAGAACTTTTGCACTACTGCGAGAAAATTTGTCAACCGACCCCGCGTTACCCCCTACCGCGAAAGTCAATAAACGTTAATTGTTTTATGACTCTATTTTCAACACTTCTTTTCTGAGTTGTAAATCGACTAATTGACAAAGATTTTACTTCATTTTACTCATAAGAATGTTGTCTTTATGATTTAATAGATAGTTTCGTATGATTTTTAGACATAAATTTTATTTTTAATTTTTTATCTGATATAGTCGTGTGTTAGGCTTAACTCGATCACCTATTTTCAAAAATTGACATCGTTCAAAATATTATAGAATCCATCAAAATTATTTGCTTATAGTTTAGTTATAAATGTTTTCTGTGCATGAAAAGAAGCGATCGAAAAAATAATGGGTGGACCATCAAAAATTCGGCAATTTACGACATGCTCTCAATTCTGAAATTTGTTTTCTTCATAATATAAAATTTTTACAAAATAATACTTAAAAAATACATCCATGTCAATACCTGAATGTTATAAAAATGCAATTATCAAAAATTTTGTAATTTTCACAATTTGTATTGTCATAATTTATTTTTGTTTTTTTCTGTCGCGCGTTGCGTATTGCGCGACAACAAAGTCGTAACGCGATTAAACGCAGCGATTTCATTTATAATTACTTAAAATGTAGTTTACGTTCTTGTTTTAGTTTTGTTTTGTTGTTTAGCGATGGAAAATAAATAGATAATAATTGCAGATAACAATTTAAAGTATTTTTATCAGATTAATTTAGATTATTTGATTTTACAATAATGATAGCTATGCGATATGATTGTCGCATAGTTGTAATTTTTCACTTTATATCTAATTAGCTCTCATAATGTTTAGGGGCTAATTAGCTAACATGTAGTTCTTTTATTTCGTTTGATCGAGTAAGCATCTTCTCAGAATTGTCTTGTGGGAAATTGACTGCGATAAGAATTAGCCTTTCACTTAAATCAATGTCAGAATGTAAATAAAAGTTAGTTAATCGCCATTTTCATCGTTTTCAGCTCTAATTTCGCTACTTTTCATTTTAATTGACGTTATTTAAACAAATGTTTGTTTTGTCAGGAACATTCAGGAGTAAAATTACCAGAATTACGGCTCTAAAATGAAGAAGATAGCTATTTGTAAGGTTTGCTTACATTCTGACTTTAATCACGTTGATTGGTTCTTCGCGGGAAAATCCAGACCAGATGGTTCTGAAGAAACCTCTCATTCGTTGAACTTAAATCAGTCATAATATAAATTACCAATTACAGTGTAATAGGCGTAGAAACAAAAATTTTAAAGCCAATTAACAGCAATAACATCTTCCATAGACTTACTATAGAGAGTTGGAGTTTCCCGGGAATATTTATTGCTAGACAGTTTTGAGAACATGCTTACTCGTATATACATTGTGAAACAATATTTAATTAACAATTTATAGCTCAAAACGCGAATAAAACAAGCGAATTTATAGCGATTGTTTACATTTGATTTCCAAGATCATTGCCGAAAGGGGGGAGATATTTCCCGGCAATTTATAGCTAGACTGTTTTCACAAGTTTCCCATTGGTTAGTAAATGTAAAAAAATGCCAACTTGCATCGTCTAATATACGAAGAATCATCATAAGTAATATATAAAAATTATATGATAAAAATAGAATAATAATTAAAATGATTAAAAGTTAATTAAACATTAATTTTGAAAACAATATTATTATAAAAAAAAAAAAACAAAAATATAAATATATAAATAAATAACGATATTATAAAGTATAATAGACACCGCGCGACAACTTCAGCGCGATAAAGTTATTGCGACACTCGCTATCGGCAACGGCGACAAATTAATTGACGTTTTTTTACCCCCTCCGTGAGTCGCATGGGTCTGTCATACCCATGCGACTCGTAAAGCATTTTTTTTCTAAAAAATGAGCGTTGCTATGCAAAAAATTTTAACAGCATGTTAATCTAATTAAAAAGTTTGAGGAATATTAATTTTTTCAAATTTTTCAAAAAATATTTAATAGTAAAAAATTTTGACTAAAAATCGCGTCGGGTCTGTCAGACCCATGCGACTAACAGAAGGTTAATTAATTTTTTATCGTTACAAACCATAGTTCTAAAAAAGTTGTTTTTTCTGTTTGAAAAATCTTACTTTTCAAATTACAGGCAATTGTCTTATCGTCCATAATTTATTTATTATATCGCAGTTTTACATTAGTAGTTCTTTTTAAGCGCATATTTTGCCATAAAGTGTTAGTTTGTTTCTGATAATACTACTATTTGGCAAATAATCATCATTAACAAATATGTAATAATTTTTCACTATATTAATATATTTAAATATTTTTATTTATTTTCAAAGTTAAACACTTTATAAATAACCAGTCTTTTTGAATTAGGTTTAAAATTTTTAATTCGATAACTCTGCTTGATATTCACATCTGTAAACTGAAAGTTATGTCTAAATAATTTTCAAACGTTGCGTAGACAATTACCCATTTTATCATCATCTTCTAAACTTGAAATTACAAATTTATTTCTTTTTCTTTATCCTCCAGTTTCAAATGCTTTCGAAGTAAGCAAAATTTTTACATATTGAATTTATTTCTGCGTTTGATTTGTTATTTCTAACGTTACCTGTCGCTTTGTCAATTTCGAGGACAGGGAGTATAAATTCAACATCTACAGTAGCAGTGCCTATGATTTCAATACAGGCAATACAATACAAAATATTTTCAATAGTTTTGTTCTATCTGATCTTTCTAAAACTTCCTGTAATTTACTATATGAAAAGTGTTGTAGTTTTAACAAAACTTTAATTCTTTCTTGGACGTTAATCTTATTATCGGCACCTATTTAAGACAAGATCATTTCCTGTATCAATTCATCTCTAATATTTTCCTTTCTTTCAATTCGTTTTTTTACGTTTTATTGTGATCTATCCCGGAATAGTGGCAAAAAGTTTTCGTTCTCTCAGATGAGTATTTAATTATTTTTCAGAAAATTACAGTAGATTCCCCTATAAGACAGGTTTCTATAATTACGATTCCTATATGACGGATAAAAAATTGTGGCGGTATCCGTAAACAATGGTAAAAAACTCTTATAATTACGTAAAACGTCATCGGGCAGCCGAACTACTTTCCGTCGTCCAGCGCTACTCTACGGACAGTTTAGGCTGGTAAATTGAGTTTAGTATCGTCTGTACATATAATTATATATAAATTAGGTACTGTATATATAATTATATATTAACTTAATTTATTGTAACCTTATTATAATTATATATATGCTTTCTGCTGCTTAGCGCCACGATACGGAGAGTTTAGGCGAGCTATCATCTGTACAGTATGTAAATTAGGTACCATAAGTCTAATACAGTACTGTAATTTTATACATTACTTGTGAAAAAACATTTCTTATTCAATATCGATTAAAATTATTTGTATTAATGATGTCTCCAAAGTTCAACGAAGTTTTCGCAGTAAAATAACATCAGAAATCGCGGCCACGGTTTGCTGCGATTTTCCACGACGAAAACAAGCTTAAGCAATGGCAACGTCGAACGATGCACACTCGGTGTAATCCTACAATTTTTTGCTTATAGCATAGTTTATATGGATTATTCCCAAAAGAATATACGTATTTTCGAAATGTTGAGTTGAATTAGTCTAGAATCGATTATTTTTATAGAAGAAAACCTTACAAACAGCCGTAGTCCGTAAACTTCACACGTGTCAGGCTATGATTGGCAAGGTCTCCTAAACGATCAATTTCATAAAAAAACGAAACGTATTTACCGTGTTATAGAATGTCGACTGTAATTAAATTCACTTAGCATTCAAAACATTCGAATTTTGAAAAACACAAATTTGCTGATTCACTACAGACAACTGTTTAACTAAAGTGAAACGGGTCATCCCATTGCTATGGATGTCTGCCTAGTGCAGTTCAGCCACAATCCGCTACAGTTCGCCTTTATTATTAGTTCGAAACGGAATGGTTCCATATTACCAACTTTTCCTCTACTTAACTCTTGCATCAAAACCGTCAAACTACAAGGAGGAATGCTAAGTGCTGTGGACTTTTTTTTAATTAACTCTTTCTGCCCTGTGGGCACTAAGAGTGCCTCTTTTTGCATGCTCATTATGGGTTCGGCCAGGCCCACAATGGGGCTGCCGGGTGGTGAGAGACAGGGCCCGACATATCCGAACGGACCACCCCCCGAAAAATTCCTGGGGATTTTTCGACCCGTTCGGATTCGAGCCCGGGTCCCCCAGAGCGGTGGGCTGCCACCTTGACTGCTCGGCCATCCGGCCGCTAGTGCTGTGGACTAACTTCGATAGCGATTCTCGCATTCACGATATTTTCTAGGGTGTCCGATTCTGACTGCACTCAGAGGCTTTTATGCTACAGAACAAGTTTCCTGAAAGTTCTCAATTCATGTCATAATGACATGATTATTTTAATGGATCTTAAAATGACGGCGAAATAACCATTCAGAGGCCATTATGCAACCATTATATTCAGGTAATGATTTAATGGTGAACGCACATTGTGCATCTATTTATTGATTCAAAATTACTACTTGTTCTTGACAATACACTATCATACAGGAAGTTTCTTCTATTCAATCAGTACATAGAAAAATTAATAGAATCTTTAGCAGAAAACGATGGTTATTCAAAATTTTTTAGTATATTGAGTAATAATTCATTTCTTCACAACTTCAATCAAATTAACTTGAAAAACAAAATTGAAAATCTACGATTGCTAGAAAACGTTTCACACAAGGAACATTTTTTAAAATTTCTCTGATCTACTTAATCACAATACACCACATATGAATAATATAAAAATAATACTTTTCTCAAAATAGATTATAATTGTTACCTACCTTTCTATAAATAAGAGTGCAGAAAGCTACCTTCAGTTTCATTGAATAATATTCTGTCATAAACAGGTTAGTATTATGCGTAAACAAATAAATCGCAGTAACAGTAAAGAATCCTGCAATTGTAAGATAAACGTTGTAGTAATTCCATTCTTCTCTGTTTTCGAAATAACGTACTGTTGATCCTAGAAAATATGCTTGACCTGCAACTAAAGCTGTTTCCTGTAATTATACATAAATATCAGTTATTTCAATTATTTTAATAGTAACTTCACTTTTTTATAATCGGGTGTCTTAATACCTGAATTAGTACAAGAAGTATTACAACTAAGTACTTCCAACCAACAAAACTTAATACAGTTTTCAGTATGTTCGGATTTTTCTTCTGCAATTCCTTTTTCCACTCTCTGAAAAGAAATTTGGATGAAGCATTTAATTTAAAAACAATATTTTAATAAATGTTATTAAACTTATGTAATGTTTAGAGCTTTATAAATGCTATTTTCTTTTAAAATTTTTAATGCAGCACCAGAGAATCTGGTATGTACAGTAATAACTGCCCACGCTAGTATTCCGCGAATCCGAAATTTATTAAACAAGTGGTTTTTTATGATCCTATGCCACAACAAAAATATTGTGTGTTTCTGTGAACGTTACTATATGACAAGAGACAGATACAATTTTAACAGAGTATTAATAGTCAAATAATATTTCATTGTAAGACAGAGTAAATAGCACGTTTAAACAAATCACAGACATATGCATTGTTCGCTTTGATATGTCTGCTGTGCAAAAATTACATATAAATTATTAAAGATTTGCACTGTATACTGTTTGCACTGTAAATGTTTACCTACTAAATTTTTGAATTTTGAAAACTATCATTAGCATTCTTATAATTTGTAAATTCTCAGTATCTAAAATAAAAATAAATTACGTGTATATTGATAATTTGAAAATTTGGTATAAATATATTTGCTATTCAATTTGATAAAAGATTTTATATTATTAATTATTATTTATTTATTTAGTACAATATACCCACTCAGCAGTGACTAACGAATATATCCGTTAAATTTTTTGGGGGTATCGTTAAAAACTAGCCGATAACTACCGCGAAAAAAATTCACGTAAAAATGAATTATGTAACAATAAAAGAAAGACTATTCTTTACTAGACACAACTGTTTACAAAAATCTTTTTACGAAACGGTAACGAGAAATAACTATAAAAATTTTCCCACGTTTATTCTCCACTACATACAGACAGCACCATACCTGACTAACCCACTGCTGAAAGGTTATAGTCTTATACCCTTTTTCTGGGAACAAAGTATAAAAACATAACACCGAACAAACATTTTCGAATAACAAACACAAATACAGTAATTATAGTGCAATAAATATGAAAATGTCTATACAAAGTCCAACTCTGTACATACAAAAATCAATAATATATATAAAATACAATAATTATTACATATATGTAACATCCAGTGCATTAGTACAATTATAGTACATAAAATAATCCATAACAGAAATATGATCAGAAAAACATTAATGCCAAATTCCATACATGGTAAGTAAAAAAATCATCGGCATCTCAGCCAACTCGGAGAAAAGAAATGGTGGGTACACCACTGATCTGGACGATACCATTAAACATCTTTTCATCACCCATTTTCTTTCAGACGACCACGAGGATGATAACCCAAAAAAGAAAAATATCAGGAGAAAAGTCTTCTACCCACTTATCGTTGAAAACGACAACCGTTTACATTTACAGAGATGGGTACTGCTATTAAATTTCTACGAAATAATATGGCTCTTGGCATTAACGGGATAACGGCCTGTATGGAAAAAAGGCATTTAAAGCCATTCTTATCGCCTTCCTATTCACCTTCAACTCGTGCCTCGCCAGACACCAATTCTCAAAATGCTGAAAACGCAGTGTTGTGAAATTCATACCGAAAATCGAAGCTTCCAACTTAGTCAAAACCACAGATCTGAGGCCGATTAGCCTTCTGCCCGTACTGGGTAATGTTCTTGATGAACTTCTAATCAATAGGATTAACTACCATTTCAGGAATAACAACCATCTTCATTCCAATCTGTTTGGCTTTGTCCACGGGAGCTTTACCTACCCAGCTTTCCACAGTGTAATTCAATTCATAGACAGTGTTTAGAAAAATGAAAAACACATAGCGTTGATCTTAATAAATTACAGCAATTCGTTTTACTTTCTGTGGTGGTCATCCGTTTTTTTTTGGCAGCTCAAAACCTTTATCTGTCCACAAAACATATTCAAGCTGCTCACCAGCTATCTGAAGGGCCGTACTACTGGCATACACGAGTTGGACACACTTGTCATCTAAGCTGTCATCCTGGGTGTCCTCAAGGTTCCTGGTCCAGGCCTAACCTTTGCAACGTCATGTACAACGACCTTCCCTGATGCGATTAGTGTCACCTTGGCTACCAGTAATACACCGATAATATTTTGGTCATGATGTCCAATAAAAACAATAAAAATTCCTGCAAAACGCCAATTCTTTTCTCAATTATATTTTACAGTTGAGTTACTTTAATAAATTATCCATTAACCTAGTAAGACCACATGCATGTTTATGTAAAAAAGGACCCAACTCAACAAACCACACTCGATTAATTAATGGAGAAATTACTAAGATAAGATACACCAACAGTATGAAATACCCGGGCAATACTATCTATCAGGATTTGAAATGGAATATTCATACAAAGCTAAAAAACGCTTGTGAAGAGGGAGGCCATAAAACTTTCGAACTTTATCTGCTTTCTTGCAGAAAAAAATTGAGGCCTCAACAACAAGAGCTTGACAAGTATTTAACGTCTGGCTATCGAACCGGCTATCCTTTATGGTGCACTCTTTTCGGGGGACACAGTGAACTAAGTACAGTACTACAAGTTAAAAATATGAAAAAAAATACAAAATATTTCAGATTTTCTAGAACATTTTAACAGACGATTCGCATTGATATTATTCACATTGTGGAAATTTCAAATGACAATTTGTGTTTCAACCTACTATTTGAAACTAATGGCTTTTCCACCAGTGAAAACCATAATATCAGTAGTCACAATTTCTTCATATATGACAAAAGTACTTATTAATTTATAAACTATTATTTCCAGTTATTGCTTTTCCACTATATATAATAATTTAAAAAATATTTAATTTAATCAGAATTTTATAACTAATTCATTGAAACAATATTTTAATGTCAACACTTAAATAAATATTTAATAATTACACTTATATATAACACAAAACTGTTGACATTTATATTAATTTATTTCAAATTTTTACACGTGTAACTTTGTAGCAGTGTTATATATGATATAACGCACAACATACATTAATTCTTCAAATTTATGTTATTCCCTGCAATAAATACAATGATTTCAATTAATCATTCACACGTTTATAGGAATGAATAAGAAAATCATACAGTTTGTAAAACAGTAGGGTAAGTTAGCTGACTGCAAAAACAAACTTTCAAATAGTTTGTTTCACTGATTTCGTAACTTCAAATACAATAAATCTTTTACAAATGTCAGATTGCTCACAAACTATTAAGTTTATCATTGGTAAAAAAATTAAGAGAGAAAATCAGGTAGCTGTACTTGAATTAGTTTTAGTTTGACTGACAAAAAATATACTTGTTTCAGGATAATTTCAGGAAATAAAATTTCTCTGTATATCATTTGTAAAATGTCATGATTAATGGAGCCTGCTTTATTTTTTTACCGACCTATTATTCATCAAAATGATTTAGGAATATTGATTTGATTATAACTTTATCGAGTATTTCATCTAATTAAAAAACATTAGCCAAACTTTATTATTAATTTTATTTGATGTTTTTTTTGTTACTTTTTCAGATCTGTTTATCCTGTGGACACTACTGGGCCTTTCTAAGCGAGCCTGTTGTACATTCGGATCACAATAAGACAACCAGTGCAGAGACAAATCTTGGCGTATTAAATTGTCTAAACTGAAAACAATTTCAAAAGGCTTTAGGCACGTAAAATACAATTCTTTATCGCCGAAAGTGGTACGCTGCCGCATTAACTACTCAACTAGGACTCATCAAAAAGTTTGAAAATATTCTAGTTATTTTAAGCGGATGATTTATTAATTCCTGCGATTTAAAAACTAAAATAACGTCTTTTGTCGATTATTTTGACATTAAAAAAACTTGAGTCACGAAATTTTAACAAAATCTAGATAAAGCTGTATTATTGCTGTAGATGTATGTTGAATTAACAGTTTACTATGAATCAACTATATACTATAAATTTTGTTATAACTTTATATAACGTCAAATATTAAGTGTTTTATTAAAGAAGTAACAATAAGTAACACAAGTCTGCAAGTAAAAAACTGCATAGGATTTTTACAGATTTTCTTGCAGATTTCAACGTGGTAAAAAAATTGCCTTAAAACGAAGACTTCTCACATTAATTTTATGAATTATAGCTGGACTTGGTAATAAATAAATTGAAACGTTAATGGTTGAAGAGAGTAGTGGTAGGGGGAGGTTGGTTAAGTATTTTTAGCGTTAGGAGGAAGGTTGCATGATCGTATAGAAACAGGTTAAAAGTTGATAGTGAGTTATTTTACTGGTGAGATTGAGCATGTTTTGACATGTTATCTGGGATACTAGGATTAAATATAAACTACCTGCTGTTAGATTAAATCATGTTTCAACAAGCTAAATAAGTTCAGTATCTCGCTGGCCATCTAATGCTACACTCAGTTTATATCCAGTAATCGAATGCTACTGTGCTTGTATATTTATTTCTGGAATAGGGTTCGCAGAGGTTGTGTAATTTCTCCATGCAGCTTCTGTTAAGTTTGCGGTGAATACACAGTGAAAAGTCAACAAAGAAACATAAGTGAGTTTGTGAAGAAAGTTTATTTTGCATATTTCAAATTGAAACTTGGAGATCAAGACAAAGCAGATTTTTGGAAAGAAAGAGAGAAAAGTAAAAACAAGTATGGACTCTGTCAAGAATGTAGTGCATAAGTTTATGGGGAATACTAAGGACCATGACTACAAAACCATTACACAACGCATGATGGCAGCAGCGTATGAAGCACAAGGATGCAAGATGAGCTTAAAAGTTTATTTCTTATACTCCCATACTGACTATTTTCCCGAAAACTTGGAAGCCTACAATAAAGAACAGGGTGAAAAATTTCACAAGGATGTCCATGATATCGAAAGACGTTACCAAGGAAAATGAGATGTCAATATGTTAGCTGGCTATTGTTGGATGCTCAATCGATAAACCAGAGAAAAAAATCTGCAACGTGTTCCAAGAAGCATCAAAAAGAAGAAGAAAAGGTTTCATAAGTAAAAAGAGTAGAACTAAAATTGTGTATAAATATTAAAAACAATTTGATAATTAGTTGTAAGAAAATATAACATGTTTAGTTTTTTTTTGTAATAAATAAGAGTTTTTATCAAATATTTGTTTTTATTTTGCAAAAAACCCTTTACGTGATGGGATGTAACGGAAGTCATTTTTAGAATATGCGATCTATAAAACATATAATTCAGCAAAAATATTCCATGCAGCTGGAAAAAAAAATTTTGCAGACCTGTGTAATTAATATGTAAAAAAGAATAACATAAATGAAACAATATTATTAATAGTTTTTGTTTAATTATTTTGTTAAACTTGAGGAAATCATAAATGAAACAGAAAGTATTAGGAAATAATAACTGAAATATAGATATTCAAAACTAAATAATAAACTTACTTTTGAAGTAGATCCCCAAGATACTCTGAGGTGTGATGTTGTGAGGCTTCGTGTAAATCTTCTTCTTTCAAAATTTGCTTTCTTCCTTTGTTTATTATAGGAAAAACCCAGCTGTAAAATAAACTAGTTACTTATGAATTAATCTTGTTTAACATAATTTTTTCTGTACTGATAATTTTCAAGTGACTATCGTTGTAGTTATCTTACAACCCATTGTACGATTTTCATCCATGTAAATCATTTATCGTCAGCACTGTGACAGTTTATATAGAACGAATTAGCTAGGGCATTTTAGTAAAGCAGCATTAATTAGCGTATAGTGTATCTTTACTAACTATTATAATTACAAATGTGTTGACACACATTCTTGATCAAAAAGCTTTATTTAATTAACGCAGTTGTTACTTTATATGTAAGACATTAAAATATTTTCGCACAAATTGCATTTTTCTACTTTTACTGTTTTTTTATTCACTTATCTAAGTATAATATTTGATACATAATAACATTTTAATGTTCTTGAAAAAGACAAACGCATAAAAATTCAAATATGAAAACTTCAAGCACACATCTGACACGAACATAGTTCTTACATTATAATTCGTTATTTTATTATTAAGTAACTTACGTGCAACAAAGTTTGATAGTAATTAGGTGTTTGAAATATTAAATTTAATTACAGTAGATCCCCCTATAAGACGGTAGATACGTTCCGTTCTTTATGAATCAATTTTGTAGGAATCATAGTTTACGGACTACGGCTGTTTGAAAGGTTTTCTTTAATAAAATTAATCGATTCTAGACTAATTCGACTCAACATTTCCAAAATACGTATATTTTTTT